ATATGAAGGCTTGAGCTATTCCAAATTCTTGTCTTGAACTATTTTGCAATGAAAGCATTTCCTAAGGATGACCCCACCAAGCCTTGCAAAGTTATCGCATTTTTGGGTTACAAGGCTAGTATGACCCACACATCGATATTTGAGGTCGTAGATGAACTTCATGAATTAGCCTTCCAAATTGTAATATGTATGCAGTGTCTATAAGAGTGTTTGATTGCAAGCATGAAACTTACGTGAAAAGAAAATAAATTCTAGGCAATTAAATTGCCTAGAACTTATTTGCATGAAAATTGTTAATTAAACGTATTTGATTTATCTAATTTTCAACCTAGAAAATGTTGTGTTTGTCCATTTTTTATTGGTGGGTAGATAAGAGAGAGGAGGGGATTATCTGGAAAATAAAAATATAATCTCACTAAAGAATATATTTTCCTTGTTTTCAAGAAAAATATGATTATATGACCAAAAGTAGGAAAATACTTTTCATGGAAAAATATCAATCAAATAACACAAAAATAGGAATTTGAGAGAAAAACTACATTTTTCATGGAAAATATTGACAATCAAACGCACTTTTAAGTGTATTATGGAATCAATTGTTAACTGGTAAATAAAACTTAACAGTAAAATAGCAAACAAAATGTATTATGCAAAATAGATGTTATAATCTAATATCAAAGCCAATAATTATTCAAATGATTAATTAAATTATATTTGTCTTGCGATTTTAAAGGAAAAACATTAATTAAATTTGAATAATCTAGTTGTTCAATAATTTATTTCTCAATTGATAACATAGTCAATCCATTCAATCTTTCTTGTGGCATAAATGATTGAAAATAAGTCTTGATAAATTTTAATTTGGAGAAACTTCTTTCTACAAATGCAGCTATAACCGATATAGTTATCAAAATTTTGTAGGTAATATAAGCATTTGATAAACATTCATTCAATGTCTTTAAATACTATAACACTTCAACTGCTCTCGTTGCTTCACTTGGTATATAGAACCAAAAGACATGTAACTTCGAAAGTTATTCATCTCCATTCATGTCCGAACGTCCATTAGGTTCCAAATACCTCTTAAGATTCATACAAGACTTCAACAAACTGAAATGTGTTATCCAAATTAAACAAAAATCGAAACGTAACGTTATATTGTTTAAATTGTTCAAATCAAGTCTTTAGAGAAGATTGATCTTGATTAAATTATAAAATGGAAGTATTCAACTCTAAAAAATTCTTCAACTGATTGCTTTACCTCATCATTGCCACTTTCGTTAAACTATTTATTTTTTCAAATTATGCATTTTACTAGAAATATAGCCTCATTTTCCATTGCACTTCTTTTTTGTCGCTTCGTCCATTGCAATAGCAAATTCAATTTTTCTATGATCTTCGAAAAATAAAACAAGTCATTGTAAGAGGTCGATAGCAACATCAACATCCATGTTTTAGGTTTGAAAAATTTTATTCAAAATATTGACCTGTGCATTAACCTGTACCAGATTACCATGCCAAGTAAGAACTCAAAATTTTGAAATTCATGTCACTAAGTACTCAGCTTCACTCTTTATTTTAGGATCTTCGTTAATGTCTGTTAAATAAAGTAAAACGCCTCTTATTTGTGCAATTTGCTTCATTATAGGCTTAACGCTTTCAGCATGAATTTTCCAACATATTTGTGAGTTGTTTCATTGTCGAACCTTGTACATTATCTTTGAAAATTTTCCATTGCGCGGGAGGAGAGGTGAACAATGTGTATGCATCTACATATTGTTAACCCCTTCTCCTGAGCGATGGAAAATTTTCAAAGATAATATATAAGGTTCAACAGTGAAACCATTGTAGTACAATATCTTCGAGCTTTCAATCGTAGATATCTTGGTGTCTAGTGGTTTGGTTAACAAAGTGTTGTAAAGAACGTGTTGATCTATTTCTCTATACATCAGTTTGTGTAATAATTCTGTGGTTTTTCTTCAATTTTTTCGTCATCTTCTACTTTATTTTCAGCTTTCCGTTCCTTGTTCTTCCCCCATAAAATTGCATAGAGACCAATTACCAGCATTATGGCTCCACAGACACTACAAGTAACAGCAGCAGATCAAGAAAACCAGTAAAGAGATAAGAAGACGGAATTAGTCCAATATACCATACATGCCATCGAGCGTACAATGAAGAGTATCCTTAAATAACATGGATGAGAAAATTTCTAAGGATAAGTGCAACGGGCCGAACACAGCTCTGAATACAAGTCTTGTCTTCTGAACAACCCAAACTTGCAACCAATAAGTAAAATCCAGTCACAATTACACCCTACAATTCATTGATAAGTTTAAGTGCTTGTTTGGTACGGATTTTGATAATTGATTTTTTGATCGTTAGAGATAAGGTGGATCCTACCTGTAAAAGAAGAATTCAAAAATGATGGCTGAAATAGTGAAATAACGTTAAAAAAATTGATTTTAATTGGCTTTTTAACTCTACCAAACGAGCTCTAAAAGTAAGAAAAATTCACTTAGGTATTTCTCTTTCCTCATACTTATAAGTAACATATTTTCAACTCTAACCCATAAAAATGATTTATTTAAACTTTTAAGCGAGTTTTTATGAAAGCAAAAATTGGATGAAGTTACATAAAAAACAGATTACAGATAGAAGATTAACATGATAACATTGCATCCACGTTTCCATGATTCTGAGTTTCTTTCTTTCACCACTGTCCATATATATTACTGATGATGCACAATCTCCCGAGGCATAGTTCAGTGGTGCAAAGGATAGGAGTGAGGTTATCTCATGCCTTGTTGGCAACCACGGTGTAGGGGCTCGATTTTCGAGATATGGAATTAGACTCTTTGTAAGCGCAATGTACAGGCAGCTCTTGTTCTCCGAGTTGTTAGGGCACATTCCACGATTTACCTCACTCACAAAGCTCTAGAGGCGGAACGGGGCCCTCAAGGTTGGAATTCAACCCTTTTTTTTTTTTTTTAACTGATGATGCACAGCTGCAAAAACATTGCAGCGCTGTAAGACGTAGTTTCGCGGGGTATTGCTTGATAAGTGGACCCGGATAAATCACAAATATAATTAGAATCGGAGACTCTTTTAAAATTTCAGTTTATAGAAATCGTCAAGTCTTGTCACCACCCAATATAAATTTTGTACACTGTGTCACGCCTTTGATGGAAAAGACGATGAGTTAAAGACAGGTTGTTTTAGCAAGTTTCTGTCTCAACCTGCATAATTAACCAACCACAAAGACCATGTTACGTTGGCTGCAAGCATGACCAAGTAACCAATCAGCTTTTGAATAATGCTTTTCCGACAGGTTTAAGATTTTTGTTTTGTTTTCTGCATACACTGGAGGTCATCTAACAAAAGAACACAGTAGAGCCCCAGAAAGGCTAATGCAGAACCACCTTCGCCATTCCATCTCTATGTTATATAGACAAGCTTTCCCTTCTGAAAAGTTAAGAAGAAATTTCTTTCTTGTGTATCTGAAGATGAAGGTAGTGGCAGGAATTGTATTTGTGAAGGCTGTAGAGAAAGTTGTTTACTCATAATATAAAGATTTAAACTCATAGTGATTCTGAAATTCAACATATGTATGAATTCCATGTTAGAATTAAACCCTTGTTCCAATTACTATAGCTATAAAAATCAAATCGAAATCTTTGAAAAACGTGATTAGGCTCCACAGAGAGTCCAAAATTTCAATTCGGAAGCATGAAGAAATCAGGAAAATTTTGCATAGAAGGATGCACGATTCTGGAGAAGCTTTCGTACTTCTAATTCAGAAGAGAAGATGCGCTGTTAATTATTTGAAGCAAACAAAACCCTGATCTCAATATTTGGAATTGACACATAAATAAAGGTAAAAATCGAGCAAAGAAAATCGGAACTTCTCCATGATGCAAGCAGAAGGAGCTATTGCCATTAAAGTGATGTTTGGCGATAAACAACAAACACATAGGTATTCATTCCTTTTGAGATTGCTGCCTTAGAAAACAAAGCCATGCCATCATACACAAATTGTGTGAACTTCATTTCTAAATATGGTTTATTTTTCTCCATATTCATTCCATGAGACTCCATAATGGAACGTTTACTCGTAAATTTTTGGTTTCTACGATAATAGAGACGATGGAGTAGTAGAAATTATAGAGAAATGTGGGACAAGTCGTGATGGCAATGGACCGAGCCAAGCCGGCTCGGTCCTTTAATCCACGAGCTCTTGGGCTCGAGCCGAGCTCATGTTTTATTTATTTATTTATTTTTTTTGCACCTTTTTTTTTTTAAAATTTCATATTTTTGGACGATCCCACGAGCCGCTCGTGGGCTCGGCTCATGGGATTGAGCCCCCTGCTCGGTTCGGGCTCATCATTTGTTGTCCACGAGTCGAGCCTCAGCCCGTTTGACATCCCTAGGGACAAGATTCTACTTGGACTATTGTTAATTCTAACGTATTTTTAACCATGAATTACCCTATCAAAGTGTCTAGGTAGGGTCATCGTTAGATAAATAGTCAAGAAATATGAAGCCCGAAATATGAAAGGAGCCTAAGCTTCCATTTAAGTGTCCGACTCCATACATTTCATGAGACTAACTATTTTTTATCAACATTTTAACCACACATTTCATCATTTTTTATCAAATTCTGGTAAAACTTCAATTTCTCATATGGCAAGTTGCAGCAATGTTATTTCACGAGTCTAAAAATATTGCAAGAGGAAAAGCTAGTGAGTTAAAGATTTCACGAACATAACATGAATCTGAAACCCTCCTTTACACCGGTGGACATTTGCAGATGATTAGATAGTTTAAACTTGTGTTCATTATCTGCATACACTAACAATTAGTATTGTGCAAACTTGTTTTCTTCATTTGGAGTGTACATATATAATGTATGAACATGCTTGACACGGAGGTAGGCCTATATTCACCATTTGGACATGGCGCAATGGTGGTGTCAAGGCCCAAATGAAATGGGCTTGGAGTGAATTCACAAGCCTGATTTTGGATGATATAAATCCAGCATTATGGACATATAAACAGGGTGACTGGGCAAAGAGAATTTAAATATCGACATGGACATTTTCTCTGTATAAAAATACACATTACTCTGTGCTTTCATTTTCTAGGTGAAATGTTGTCCAAACTCCGTGCTTTCATTTTCTAGGCAAAACACAACATTTCACCACTTTGTAACTCACTACTACAATTTGTATTGTCCAACAAGCAGAAAGACGGAGGAGTGGAGATGTAACCATGCCTTCGAAATAAACTGGATGTAGTGGAAGTGAAATAGCTAGTTGAACATTCTTCGACAACAATATTAATTTCTACATCACTCTGTTCAGAGGGATCATATTATTCTGGTGTGTAATCCTTTCTAAGGGAGAAATCACCTGTGGCATTGACATTCCAACGGACACGATGATCTCTGAAATAAATGGAAGAAGAGTTGGTAAAGAGGGCGGCGCAATTAAAAATTAATGTCAGCACATTCCCCCCCGGAGGGGGGGGGGACCTATCATACTAATAAAGAAGGGAAAAAAGAGTATCATTTATTCAATGTTATTTCAAATTAAGAAATTATACAAGGCAAGCATTCTGGCATTCCATCACGTCTCGAAAATTTCAAAAATAAAGGTGAATGTAACGATGAAGTAAATGAAGCACAAAATGAATAGCAGATCACCAACCTATGCCTTCACGGATAGACAAATTTGGCCTAATGATCTCCTTCGAATTAACCAGAAATACATCCCCTATGTACAAATGATTTGTTGGGACATAAACAGAGCATAACTCCTCATCCCCAGCATCTCTCTGTAACCAACAGACAGCAATTTATATCAACAAAACCAGAACCAAATAAAGGCAGGTGTCGCTATTTATTTAACAATTTAATTTTTTATAATCCAACAACTGAAAACAGAGATCATCTACAGCAACCAGTGTTAATCTATGTCAAGTTGAATTATAACTCTTGTGTACATATTTCCGAATTCAATATTTTACGATCCGACAAATGAACAGAAAGTCAATTTACAGTAACAAGTGTTAAGCTATCTAGCCAATTATACAGCTCTAAGATACTTATTTCCAATTGCAGTCTGTTTTTGATGACGAGATCTGTAAGCAACATCTGATATGAAGCAGGGACATACGATATAGATAATGATTTCATTATCAATTGTTTCTAGTTCAAGTTCCATATCAACAACATGCCTCTTTAAGAGAAAATATGTACTCAAACAACTTCTGTAGCCACAGAAGATTTCATATACAACTATGGTCTTCAAGAAATTGCAATACAAAACTAAGTCGTTTGTTAACTATAAAAGTATTTGCAACAATTTTGAATGACAGGTTATTTCAAGCACCTGAAGGACTACAGATGATGTAATAAAACCAAAGGCATATTCTCCAACGCGAGGATGATGAATGATGGCAACTTCCTTGAAAGCTGTGGTATTTTGATCTGAAATAAACGAAATGATGTTACATAAATATAAATTCTATGTTTTCATGGATGCCTAAGTACATCCATGTAAGCGTAAAACACAATGGATAAATTTCCTGCAGAATCTCATCTTGATTCAAAAACACGAATAATGGTAGCATATTTCAATATTATCAGAATGATAAGGACAAGGACATTTACCAAGCACCTGCAGAGTGCAAAAAAGGGGAGAATTCTAAAAAGCATTACTATCAGGATCTGTTCTTCAGATCACAAATGGAAATGGTAAACTTCTATCAGCGCAATCTTGCCTTGTTAAAAGAACTGTGAATTGTTAAGCTCTACCAGCAGTCAGTTTCCGCAAACGGAAAAACAAGAGCTTATATTGTATATATGATACTATGGATAGCACTAAATTCGACATTGATCCCTGCATGCTGAAGGATCAGCTATGCTCCAAGTTTTACGCACCATTTATGAACTAGTTTGAAGCAACACTAAAAGATTATCTCCCTTAGAAAATTTATATCATGAAAATCAACTAACTTGTATAGTAGCAATATAAAATACTACAGAGAAAGATGTCAAAACATAATGCAGTAAGTACTAAAAAAATGAAAATGTTGCCAGTGTACATATTTGAATAATTAAAAGAAGATATATAACTAGCCCTTTTTCATCATGGTGTTCTAAGATCCTAGGAGAGAAGCATTGGCATCTGGTGTGCAACATACATTTCAGACCCTGTCTAATTTCTGTACTTTATTTTTTATGACCGTGGGTGTCCGGCCAACTTACGCGCACCTCGACTAATCCCACGAGGTCTAATTTCTGCACTTCTCATCAAACAACTCAATTTTTACTAAAGTATCACAGGACACTATAAAGAAATGGTTTACCAGGAGAGATAGCAGAACTAATTTGTTTGGAAGCCGAGTATATGTGTTTGACAAAAGGCATTCGCTTTATAAACCATTCTCCTATCAAGAAAACTGTGGCACCCAACCATGAGGAAGCAAATATACCCACAAAGAAAGTGAATATTAATGACGTGATGAACCCAAGACCTGCACCACGAATAAGAAAATAAGTACAATGGAAGAAATGCAGTTTGATAAAAATCTGCAAAACCTAGTTATTGTTCAACCCATGCATTACTTTATCGTACCTATGTAAAATCCAAAAAAAAAATCATCAGAAATAAGAAAAAAAGTTACTTCATACAGCAGCATGTAAACGTATTTAGAATAAACATTTTGATCCAACAGGAACAGTGAACTCAGCCTTTTAGTGAGAAGGGGTTCAGGCTCGGCTATTTTATTTCAGTCGAATTACCGGCATTCAGATGAGTCTAAGAAGAAAGCATTAGGAAAAAAATTTGCAATCGATGCCAGAGTAAGATAAACATCACAGGGTGTTGATGACTCACCAAATATATCAATGCCAAGCCTTTCATATATAGGACTGAAGAAACCATCAACAAACTGAATAAACCACCAAGTGATGAAAAATGTAACAGCAACAGGAAAGAGAACAACACTGCAAATTGGAAGTAAAAGCAGAATCTCGTACATTAGTCGGTGCCTTGGTGGAGAACAAGGGGAAACAAAAACAAAAAATCAACTTTCAAACATACGCCAAGTTATTACCATCCTGTCATAAACTTCTTCGACGCCCAACTCTGCAGAACAGCATAGCAAGCCTGACCAAGTACCAGAATCAGCCATATAACATACTGACATGGTTGTCTTGTAAAATTTATGTAAAAGCTTGATAGGGAAATTATTAAAAATACTTTATCATAGTTTACACAAATCAAATACATTGAACTGCAGATATGACACCTCTAAAGCTCAACTGAGTATTGTACAGTACATTTACCACAATGCTCTAAACCTCCAAATTAGACGATAAAAGAGAATAAATATTCAATGGTGATCAATATATTGTACTCAGTGATTTACTTGAGATCAAAGAAATTGTACAATATATCAGACTGCTTAAACTCGGAGACGGTTCTGAGGGGTCCGCGAGTTGAGCGACCGAACAAGGCCTAAGTATTGTTAGGGCACCAAATTATTATTATTATTATTATATATTTAAAATGTTTTTTAAGTCTTAAAATTTTAAATTTTTATTATTATGTTGAGTTGAAGGGCACAATATCTATGAAAAAAGTTAAAAATAAAATAAAAATTATATTACGTTAATATTTTTTAATTTAACATATTATTGAAAATAATTATTTATTTTTTGTAGTTTTAACCATCTTTCTTTCAAAAAATAAAAAATAAATTAAATTATCTATTTTACCAGTCCAATCCTAAATGTTGAATTACCTACTTTAATCAATTTCCAACCCAACAAGACTATAAATTGCCCAAAATTCAAATGATTAAAGTGAAGAGTGAAAAGCTAGCCCCAAATCCATTTTTGTCGTTTTCTTCTCTCCCATCCTTTTAATTCATGAAGAACTGTCAAACAGACAAGAAAAAAGCTCTACCGTCATTCTTTATTGATTGCTCTACAATAGTACAATCTTGTAACTCATCATTTAATTGGTGCCGGTTCTCCACTTGTTAATTATTATTTCATAAGTTTTTTGTTCTAGAAGTGTAAGTTTTTGTTGGACGATCACTAAAAAGTGGGATTCAATTTTTTTTTACCCTTTCGAGTCTTGCCTTTTGAATTTGTCATTTGCAATCTATGATAAGATAAACAGACAAATAATGACTCTTATTTAACATTATTGTATTTTTTATCCCTAATTCTTCTACATTTTCATTTGATTGGGGGTACATGTATTTTTGAAGAATCAAGATAGCTTTAATTAAACTTATAAAGCTTTCGCCAGTTTACTCTTTAATTAGCTTATATCTTCTATTTTTTAAAATCTTTATGAATTTTAATGTCATAAATTAAAGTTTAAAATGTATCCTCGAAAACAGAAATTGGAATTCGGAGAACGAATGAAAAGGAGAAAAATTGAGGAGTTGATAGAGTCTCAAAAAGGCGCTCATAAATAATTTATTGTTAAAGAAGCTAAAATTATGGACCAAGTACTTGGAACTAATAAAAATGAAAATGAAGGTGTTAATGAATTGAGACAAAATGATAAATGATAAAAATGACAATGTTGATGATGAATTATCCAAGAAAAATGATACTAGTGAAGAGGTTGATGGTGAATCTCCTAACAAAAATGATAATAATGAATATGTAGATTGTTTAATTCATAATAGGTACATTCCCTTCAACATCTATGATCCAAGCATTTGGGACAATCTTGACATAAAATCAAGAGATCGCTAGTGATCATATTGACATTGTTCTAATATATGTAAATTTTTAGGATCTTGATGGCGCAAAGATTTGTTTCAAGATTTAAAAATTTTGCGAAATCTTTTACCTAAAGAAACAAGACAACTTTTGATATATTGACTTATTTGAAAAGATATGATTGTTTTTTGAACACATTTATTACTTATAGAATGCTATTGACAATTCCTATTACTAATGCATCTGCCAAATGGAATTTTTCAAAATTGAAATTATTAAAATCTTAGTTGCGATCAACCACGTTACAAGAACAACTGAATGAGCTAACTTTGACATCTATTGAACAATATTTGCTAGAACATATTGATTACAAAAAGTTTAATTAGTGAGTTAATTTGCTTCTAGAATTGCAAGAATAGTTTTACATGATTTGTTACATTTCAAGGTTTACAAGTATTATTTGATATTTCTTATTTCAAGGTTTGCTCATATGGAATTGTACGAAGACGTTAGTGGCTTGGATGGTTCTTTGTTGACGACATATGAATTTTGATGAAGTTCGGAAGTTCCTTTTGAGCTTTACTTGTGTTTTTCTTATTCTAGGCATATAATAAAATAAAAAAATATTTAAATGTTATATTTTTGCAGTGAAATAATATTATTGGAATATTTTTTTCTCAATAAATTACATGAAAGGTACACCATTTAAAATACAATCATGCTATAAGTATAGACAAATTTGATAGAAAATGTTTACAAACACCACTTGGCATGCATTGATTGAAAGATGGGACAAATGAAAAATAAACTGGCTAATCACGTTTTGCTACGTCAGCTTCGGTAACAAATTTGTCAAAAATTTCCTATACTTATGGCATTTTTCTTTAAAATATTACATAGTCACCCAAAATCTCAAGGCTGACCCTGCATAAACTCCAATTTTTTTGCTGCCTCCTAAATTCTAAAGCTTAAGATCTCTTTAGCTTTCAACAATCTGGGCTACGGGCATCTCGATGAATACATGTCATCACTCTATTTATCTCACAAATACATTTAAATAACATTAGTCTATCACTCATATGATTATTTCACTAAAGCTCTGGTGTGTTTTCACAGCATGGTTTGTTCTTCTTCCTCTCTTTTCTACTTCTCTTCTTTGTAATGAAGATGATGGTTTGTCCGTTTCATGGCTTCCATTAGATAATGTATGACATAGTAATTGCAATTTCGGTTAAGCAACATCAAAATGACTCCAGAAATGTATGCCTTCCGCCTTTCCAGCAGGTAAAGATCTAAGTATTTTCCACTATCAACTACCTTTTCAGCCATCGGAAGAAACACTGACATTTAATTTCTATGACTTTTTTGCAACATAATACAGCTTCTATAGAAATGCACATAGTATTCGCTAAGCACAACATGCTTGTTTACCATATTGTACAAATTGTAGCAGATGGGCATATTTATATCAAAATAACTACATAATCAAAGATAGTTTCCTCGAAGGAAGCCCCTGGTAAACTTATTGATGATACAGTTCATTATATTTATTCTTCATACAATTTATCAAATTACTCCCCTTTCATTGGCTTGAGTTATCCGAACAAATTTCTAAGGTGATAGTCTATCTTTCTTTACCTTCCTTCTTTTCATTTATAACATTTCTCCCCTTGCAGCAAGAATAAATTAATCCATATTGGCCACTAGTACTCAATGAAAGTCCTTCTATGTAAAGCCGTGCCAAGTGCCAAGCATGGTTGGTAGTAACTACTTGGTAATACTATGTGAGAAAAGTAACTTGATTCACTATGTATTGAATATTTTGCCATTACTCCTTTACTCACTTATATGGAGTATTCTTACTTTTATAGTAACAACTAACAAGTATGTTATTCCACACACATAACAAGTATGAATTTCCTTAGGTCCCATAACAATGTAATATGTAGACTTTTACTTTTCTACCTGTTTAACACTGAGTTTGGGCTTTAATTGTTCATATCTTACAAGAAAATATCTAAATTTTGACCAATTAATTCAGAAGCCCATGCATTTCTAACAATTTAATCATCATTTACAATCGCTCCCCCAGCTCGTTGAAGCAGTATAATCACATTAAATTACAAAATTTAAAAAAAAAATTATAAACAAAATAATTTAAAAATCAGACGAATTTATACATGCATATGCACGTGTAAAGGGGGGAGTAAATTGATTATTGACCTTGCGAGTAGATGAATTATTGGCGGAATTAGGAGGGGATTTGACGGGATCGTCGGCTTCAATTTCAATGTCTTGTGTATGACGCGGCGAATTCGACGAACTCGGTATTAGTGTAGACTCTTTCTTAGCACGATTATTACTATCCTCCGCCATTTCACTCTCAATTGTCTCCTGCGAGAGATTCAGATTCTTGGAAGATTATCGCAGAAAAAATCGTTGAATGCTAAACGGTATAAGATTCGGAATTTCGGATAATTCGCATATACCCTCAAAACTATGTAAAAAATGGCACTTTGCACCATTTATAATAATAATAAATTACCAAATTAATTATAAAAATCACTTCAATATTAATTACTAACAAGTTGCTTTTTCTTTTTCAGAATGTTTTCGAAGTTGAGTTTTGGTGTTACCGTATTTTTCATTACTCGGACATCTGTGAGTGAGAAAATCAAATTGTCTTGTTGACAGCCTCTTCCTTCATTGTGAAAAGTTGATGTATTGAGATGTCAAATATTTGAAGATCCTGTTTATGGCTCGTTTGACATTGTTTTTGGAAAAGTTAAAAGGACTCTTAAAATCCAAAAACTGCTTTTGGATTCGTTTGGCCAATTTTGTGAAATACTTTTGGTAATTAGAAATTTAGAAAAGTTTTCAAGAGAAATTGGTCAAATGTGACTTTTTTTAAAAATACTTTAGGAATGGAAAGTTTTTTTAAAAGTTAGTTTCCAACCAAAAATTAAGATAGTTTCCTCAAAAAGTTCTTCTATGTAAAGTTAAGGCAAAAGCAAAAATCATGCCAAACAGGCTTTTAGTAATGAGATTAAATTATCAAATTAAAGTTAACGATTAATTTTAACTACACGTTTCATCAATTGTTGTCTAACTTTACTATAAAAATCTAAGATATTAATAGCAAATCTCAACCGGTAATGAACTTACGATCTCCCCAATTTTTAAATATTTTATTTGTGGGTTTGACTTTATCAATTTCGAATTATTATTATATTTTTTTTATGTGAATCATTGAAGCAATTATTGACCCCTAGATTCATACAATAATGCCGAGTGTATAAGGGTTCTGTTCACAGAACGCCTACAAACACTTAGACCAAATGGGTCCACACCTATCTAAAAAACTAGCAAAAACCCCACTCACCCCCATGTTGTGAGTGTTTGGTACGGGTTTAGAACCCGTACCCTGTACACTAAGCACCATTCATATTCATATAATTGTAATTGTTGTTTGATGCATTAAAGGCTTCTTTGACACAATTAATATTTAAATTATTTTCATCCATATTTTCTTTAGAATTCGCAATTATTTCATATATTCAATCACACATTCTTCAAAATAATCGTTCTAGAAGGATTTCTCTTTGGATAATTGTTACTGTAATGATATTATTGTGATCGGTTTAATAGGTATTTTCTTTATGATTCATCTTCAAAATTGGGTGTATCCTTATAATAATTAGATAAATTGAGTTGTAAACATGAAAGTGTAAGAATACAACATGATTCCCTTTTTTATTTGTCTGATTCGAGGGGAAGGCCAATGACAAAGCCATACTATGTCCACAGCCCTCAGAAGAAACTAGCGAAGATTGCCATAAATGCTGTCCTTAAGGATGTGTACAAAAAGGCCTTTTCAATTCATATCAACATGGTGCATCTCTTTTCTTCAGAAAAAATTGTGCCAAACAAGCTTTAGGTTAGAATAGAATTACTTACATTTAAAAATTGGACCGTTGTTGTGTATATACAGGCTACATTAGTGGGCTTTTGTTCTGGGCTAACATTGTCTTTGGGCTGGCTCCCTCATTCCAGAGACGAACTTTGAAGCCTTCCGTCATGTTCGGCTTAGCTTGGTTATTGCTAGAATGTATGGAAAATTTATGGCTTTTGCCTATTTATATAACTATTTGTAGATTAAACGTCTAATCTCATATTATTGATTGAGTACATTAGTAATAATAATGTTTAATAGAAAAGTGAAAGCAAAAAGTAGTTCACTCTCAATGTGAAAGTTATATCTACTTAGGAATAGCAGTTCGGCTCGTCCTGGAGAAAGCCTGAGCTTGCCCGCGCCTTGTTATGGTGGGGACGGGCCGAGCCCAATCCAGCCCGTGCGGCTCATTGGCTCGGGCTCACGGGCAAAAAAAAAAAAAAAAAAAAGGGGAAAAAAAAAAAAAAAAAAAATGATTTTATATACACATGTTTGGATTGATCTCACTATGCTATCAATGTGCAGTCTAAGATCTTCAAAAATTTTCCTATTTCTCGCCATTTATATGTGATGAGTTTCGATTCGATTTGTTGACATCCCTACATCTACTTATTGTTGCAAGGATTATAATATATTTGAACTTATGTCTCTCCTTTTTATCTCATCCCCAAAATGGTGGTCATCTAATATCCTTTACCTAAGAAGAAATATCATGGGGATCGAATTCATGCACGAACAACTCATTATACCCCTATAACAATAAAGTTTCGTCTTCTTACTTCTGCTATCCAAAACTAGGGGGCTAGCTTTTAAAATTATTGAATATGAAATATAATTTATCCCAAAACTTAGATTTTTCATACAGAATAAAAGCCCGTTTTGTAGGACTTTTCGCTTTTGCTTCTACTTCTTGTAAAAGAGCCAATGAATATTCCTTAGGCAACTTTATCTAAAAACTTTCCTAAGCAAACAAAATACATTAAAAAAATAATTCAAATATGTTTAAAAATAACTTCTTAATATCAGAATCACATTTTGACACAAAAGTTACGTCAAATGGACCATTATATAATTATAGCAAATTTATATGATAACATCTCTAACATATTCTTTTAATCTTTTCCAAGATATATGGAAACTTTTGTATTTCGATAAGAACGAGTCTAAGTGCTTGTTTATTAGGAATTTTGTTAATTAATTTTTTAACCGTTAGAGATAAAGTGGGTCTTACTTATGAAAGAAGAATTCAAAAATGACGGCTGGAATAGTAAAATAACGATAAAAAATTTGATATTAATTGGATTAAAATCTCTACCAAACATGCTCTAAGTGCTATATAATTGCACATTTAAAAGTGTGTATTATACACAAGTCCACGTCTCACTCAGAAAACCATCTTCTGCCCCATTTGTGTTCTTCTTTTGCGCATTAAGTTCTCAAATTGCTTTACTTTTCTTCTTCTTCAAAAGTCCACATTTTACGTTCTGTAATCTCTTATAAGTTAAAACCCCATAATTGCATTGGAAGTGTGAAAGGAGAATGTTTTGATGTTGACACGAAAAATTTAAATAGTACATAGCAAAGTTAATATCACCATCGGATCCCCAGCAGATCGACTGTATGAGGAATTATTTTGATGTCCCATCGCCGTTCTCTAAGTTTAAATTACACACTAAATAATAAAAGTTAATTAGATAATTCATTGTACTTGTCACATACTTTTGACAAGAAAAGTTAAAACGTGTTTAGTGATGAAATCTTTAATTATTATTGCTTTGTTGGTGAACCTTTTAAAAATTGAGTTCAGTACAATAATAGAAACTACATTGATGAAGATCAATACTAAAGCATGAATTGGATCTATGGCAACGCCTACTTGATTAAAGATTGTGATGTGTGTACGATCTTAATTATTCATAAAATTATAAATAATAGACTATGAGACAAAGGAATAAGATGTAATAATCAAATAGCTAGAACGATATGTCCTAAGATCTCAACCAACCTATTTAAATTATTATGGTTATACGAGATAAAAATGACCGTAAAACCTAACATAAATTGTTACTTAGATATGTATTATTTAAATAAGATTTGATAGAAAAGGAGCAATGGTAATCCCTAACACCAATTGTTACATATACTTGTACATAACGAAAATAGCTGGGAAAACAATTCTTTAACATAATTATGAGACGAGCTTGAAATCAAGAGTTCATCTATTCTAATGGATTTACTTCTATACAGTTTCAGTATAATTACATGAATAATTACTTACTTCAATTACCAGTATATCTAGTTAGGAATTACGAAATTTTCTATGGATTTTTTAGGCTTCAATAGATATTTTTTTCAATCTATATGATTTGTGTTTATTATTTATAATCAATCATTCGACAATTCTTGTAGTCATATTGGAAAATTTTTAAAGTCGTGAAATGTCACAACATCCCCTTATGACATAATTATTGAATCAACTCGATCATGTCAAGTTAACGTAAATTATGTGAATAAAATAGATTTATAATTTTTTCCCATCTTTTCATTTGAACTTTATATACAAACAAAAATAAACAACCCGTGAAATCATCTCAATTGTCATGTAATTCTCCGTAATCTATATAAAAGGAAGAAGTAAAATGCTTCTTTTCAAGAAGTGGAAGGAAAGCACTATGTTGAGACTTGTGTAGAAAAAAATCGCTCCTAGGATATAAGGGATGACTAAAAATGGCAAAAAAAATAAAAAAAATTGCATAACGATAAGATATTTTCACTAATAAAGAACGAAATTTTGAGATTCGAAGATGATCAGATACCATTTCAATCTCAACCATAAATGATGTCGATTAGGTAACGTCGGATGTCAACATTAACACGAAAGAAAACAATTAGTACCATTATTTTATCACATTTATTTTTAAGCACTAAATGATTAATTACGTGTCTATGCCCGTACTGGACCTACCTATTTACCCACCCTAGTATTGTACTTTTCTTAATCTTTCCACGTGTTACCTTAAGCCAGCTTAATTTAGTCCAAATATTTAATCCTTGCCGTTTTATTAAAATCATTAATCCCATCTTAATTATGACCAGTTGCAACTAAAATCAATCGTTTGAAACAAAAACTAAAAAGGAAGATAAATTCCACCCACGCGATTTTAGTTAAAAGTTGAACCCAATAATTGGGCGAGAATCAAATTTGACGATCTTGATTAATTTCTCCTTGTATTAACAAATTCAGATGAAAAAGATCGTTTGATTTCTTTTTAACGAGTGATTCATACGAAAAAATCTAATTTAACTCAATCCATGATAGCTTGTTTCTGAGGCGAGCATGTTAATAGCTCTCCCCTTAAGATTCCTAGAATTTGAATTAATATAATAAATAGTAGTATATTGAATTTACTCATACGAAATAAGAAAAATAAATTTTTTAAAATTATTTTTTAATTATCTATTTCGATGGTCTAATAATAGCATTCAAGACTTCTTAATTAGTTTTAATATTACTATGAGCCACTAAAGTCAGAAAAGAGACGTGTTTTGACCAATACGAGATTCAAATACGGTACCATTCGTGCAAAATAGTGCATATAAAACGACCTATTTTGTGCTAAATAAATTAAAATCAAAGACAGGGAACCAGTCAAAGGTATTATTTTTTAGGCGTTGACCAACAATCATTTTTGAAAATCGTGAAAGATGATATGCTTAAAATTCGGTCAAATAGTATTAACTAAATTAATAAAGGTTGAACCCCAACTTTAAGGGCCCCCACCGACTTTGCCCTGGGCCATCGTAGAGGAGGTAAATCGCAGGATGTGCCTCCCAGAAGCCAGGGTGGGGAGCACATGGATAGGCCAAGGCTGTTAACCCATATGATAACTCCCGCTTGCAACAAAGCCAATTCCATCTTGCGGGGAATCGAACTCTGCACACTGTCGTGTTGAGCCCTATCCACCCTCCCCTTTGCCACTGGGAGATATGCCCTGGGGGCGTATTAACTAAATTAATAGGTTTGCCTCATTATCAAATTTTGAGTTATTAATTTTACCCTTAATTAAAAATTGTGCAAGTTTATCGCTTAATTCCGAATTCAAGAAAAATGAGCGGTTCAAAACTTATAATTTTTTCAAAAATGACTTGTTCAAGTCGTATGTTAGGACAAACCATCCATAAATTCTTTATTTATTTTTATTTATTTATAAAGTAAACTGTTTATAAATTCTTAGCAAAATGATATTCACTATTAACATTGTATACATTGATAATGACGTGATACACAATTACGTCTCTCTTTTGCAGTCGCCTTCACACCACCACGGGCCCCAACCCCAAAAGAGAAACTTATGTATATTGTTTTTTTCTTTCAATAAACTTCAAAATTCTACTTAATTTAGTTACTTATGACATTAAAATTTAAAAAAAAAAAACATAGTTTTGAATATCATTTTTCTGAAAAATGTATGGTTAAAAAGTAAAGAAATATTTTGAATTTACGCATAAAATATTTTATTATATGAATATACCATTAAAAAATGAGTATGAAAAAAATGAAGTAAATGGAACTAACCAAGGATTTAGGATTCTCAATACCCATTAACCCGAATCAAAACCAATATCAACGTAAGCTACACCTTGTCAGCAAATTAAGTCCCTGTCTGTCAAAATTTTTTAAGGAATTGATTTTTTTGAAGAATGTGACTTTAAAAACAAAGAAAAAGTTTGAATTTATATATAAAATTATTTTATTGAGAAAAATGTGACTAGAAAAAATAATTTTAGAAAAATAGGGTCAAACGAGGCTTAAGCCCCCGTTTGTTTACATTATTTGCCAATTAAAATGAAAAATATAACTGTTATCCATTATATCAAGTCACCATATTTAACTTTTTATATTTTGTGTAGGGTCCGTAACAACTATATTTTTCATTTTTATTTTTACATTAATATGACTCGAATGGGGCCTAAATGAGTTTAATTTTAATGTGCTTTTTCCCCTCCATATTTCATATTTTTGATGATGCAAAGAACTCAATTCGAAGATGATTTCTCTCTCTCTCTCTCTCTCTCTCTCTCTCTCTCACACACACACACACAAAAACACTAAAACAAGCCAGAAACCGACACCCGGCTGTCTAGAACACAGACCAGATACATGTAATTTAGCCACGATCAGTCAAACGGTATGAACAAGTCTCCAAGTCGGCTAGTTGGCATCATATATATCTTAATTTAAAGGAACAAAAAGCGAATTTTTATTAATATTTTTACTTAAAATTGCTTTTAAACTCATTTTGCAGAAAGGATTAGCACAAAGAAAGATTACTGTTCCATTGACGGCTGTACCAGTTCGAATTTATTCTTTTGCTTTTCTATAAAGCCGTTCTTTGATAATTCCCAGGTCCCCACAGCTGCAGCAGTCAATTTTCTTAAATTTGATTCAGTTTTTTGCACGTGTTTTTCTCAAGGTGGTTGCTAGTTCATGCAGAAGATTATCGGGGGCTGATAAATTAGGGTTCTTATTGATTTGGTGATTTTGGAAGAAAAGATTTTTGAAGAGAATTTAGTTGGGTTGTTACATGCTCTTGTTAAAGGTGGCGAATCCACGAGATAGCGGCGAGTATGTTAGATTTCCAGCAGAAACCTCCACCTCCACCTCCACCTCCACCTCTACCTCCACCTCCACCGTCGCCGTCACCACCACCACCACCTCTGCCACCGTTTTGAATATTGATCCATACTATCAAATGCAACATCAAGATCAACCGGATTATTTACTATCAGCAGTGGCAGGGGGGTCGATGTTTTCGGGCCATAGTCAATTGCAAGAGATGTCGGCTATGGTGACTGCTCTAACACATGTGGTGTCGGGGCAGAGGTACGGCGGTGAGAGGAGGTTAACTCCTGAGCAACTAAGTGGTGGCGCTGTTGCACCGTCTTTTGCAGGTGGTACTGGGAATATTCATTTAGTTACTTCGCCATCGTCTGCTTATTCTTCTTCCAGCTCTGGCTCTTGGCCTGGCCAGAAGAGAAGACGTGATCAAGAAGATAGTGGTACGCAGTTACCGGAGCAAGCCCCGGCGGTTTATCGGCGGTTTGGAGAGTCTTCTTCTTCTGTCAAAGATGGTTAGTGTAAAAAAACTTCATTTTTTTCATAATTTTTCCCCATATTCCAAGCCATTATGCAAACTCCTCTGTTTTTCTTAACATTGAAAATTCATTCTTTCAAATTTTTATTTTCAGCTTTGATTGTTCAAATTTGTAATAAGCTAAGACTTTGAATTAGCCTTTTTCTTTTTCATTATATTAAATTTCATGTTAAAGAAGAGATGAGATGGGCCATTGCTTGCGCCTATATTTGACTATTATTTTTAATTTGCAAACTATTCATTTAATTGATTTTATTTCCAGAGCCGGAGGCAGGAACAAGTTTTGCAATGCCTCCCACCACCACCGCCGCCGCCGCAGCGCAACCACCACAAGCAGAAATAACGAGCACTTCAAATCAAGAAACAGGAGAGAGAAGAAGAAGATACCGAGGAGTTAGACAGAGGCCATGGGGCAAATGGGCAGCAGAAATAAGGGATCCACATAAAGCCGCCAGAGTGTGGCTGGGCACATTCGAAACGGCGGAGGCCGCTGCCAGAGCATACGATGAAGCCGCCCTCCGTTTCAGAGGCAACAGAGCCAAACTAAATTTCCCTGAAAATGTCAGAATCGTCAATCCACCTGTCCCACCCCCGTCGCAGATTTCCCAACCCACACAGTTGGCCATTGCAACTCGTCCACCACCGCCTCCCCCGCTGACCAACCCATTCTTCCAAACTCCGCCGTCCCATATCTCTACCACCATGAGAGACTATTGGGATTACTCACAATTGCTTCAAAACAGTGATTATTTCCGTGGCCAACATTCTACAACGTTGTTACAACAAATGTTTAATGCTTCATCGTTAGCTGGTTTATATTCACAATCAATGCCCTCTTCTTCTTCTTCTCAATCTTCATCTTCTTCAAATCCAGCGGTATTTTCCAGTGCACAAGCAATTCATTTCGGGCAGCAAGGAAATCAAACTCAAGCACAGGGAAGCAGTTCCAGTTTTACAATACCACCATGGAATACCAGTTCCAGTTACTATCCTCCCTCCTCTTCTTCTTAAATATTCATTTTTTTTTTCTCCTGGATAAATATACACACTCTTTCTTTTTTAAGTTACAATTTTTAGGTATTATTTTTTACTTGCTTTTAGATTTAGGTACCATTTTCGATGTTATCATTTGTTTGAACATTATTGAAAAGAACAAAACAGCAGAATTTAGGATTTTAGGTTCAATTTTGGTACCAAGATTTTGACGTTTATGTTATCTTCGATTATCAAAAGCAAACACGTTGCTACCATCAACTTGTCTCTCATTTTTTTGCTTTTCCAGTTGCACCACGGATAATATTTTGGTTAAGAACGCAGTATAGATAATATTTCTATCTTTTTGAACTCTTTTAACTTTAAATAAAGGCAGACAAATAGTTTCATTTACGTAAATCTTTGTGTAAACTACAAACGAAAATTGTACATATATCAAGTTTTATGAAAAATGAATCTATACATCCCTCACGGAATACGGTAAGTGGAAGGTATGACTTTTTTAAAAAAAATTTAAACGTGATTTAACATGTTTAGTACATCATGTGCGAAATCAATACAACCTCGTACTCATGATAAATTTTCAAAAATGTCCAAATTCACAACATGTGAAAATTTGTAATTTTTAATTCACAATATGCACTTCTAAATATGGCAAAAGTAATTGAAGTTTTCTTGATATAAAATATCCATTTCAACATTTTGGATGGGACGAGGATATCAAGATATCTTTTGATAGATGACTAGCAAAAGCTTACAATTTGATGTGCTGCTGTCAATCAAGAAAATTACAATGATTTTCTTGGATGTTTATCTTGTGATTTTCATCATATCATTGTTTTCGTGTGTAAAAAGCGTGGAAGAAACAAATAATTATTCTTTCATAAAAAGCGTGGAAGAAACAAATGCTTTGTGGCCGCATTAGATCCAATAAATTACTTGGAGACAGTAAATGTGAAAATCGAAAACGATATGGGAAGAAGGATTAAATTGTGACTTGTTTATAATCTGTTTCATTATCCATTTGTTTACGGAACAAATCCACTCCACTAAGGAAATGATCATTTCCAACTTAACTAGGTTTTTTCTCACGCTTGGTGATAGTACTATAAGATAATTTGTCCTATTCTTTTGAGAGTTAGTGGATGGTTCTCGATTTTTTCAAGGGAAGCAATTTATATTTATTGTCCATTTGATATATGATTTTTGAAAAGTTAAAAGTTGTACTCGAAACTAAAAAAAAATAAAATGCATGTTCGTAAAAATTTTTGAAAAGTTCTTAGAAAAAGATTATTTAAGGTAAGTTTATCATGAAATTCTTCTATATAAAGTGACGCAAAAACACTACCAAATAGTAATGGAATGTACATGATCAGGGGCGGACACAAGGGGAGTTTTGGAGGGTCACGTGACCCTCCAACTTTTTTTTCAATAAAGTCAGGGTTGATACGAAATAAAATCTAAATTTTAATATAAATGAAAATTAACAATTAATTTTAATAACATATTTCATGGAATTCATATATTTTCAATTTTTATTCAAATTTATTAAAATTTTGATTTTAATATCCATCAAACAGAAACAAAATCACAATAGATTTGAACTTTTTTCATTTTTCTCTACTCTCGTGACTCTCTCACTCACGCATTCTATCAAAACCTTAATTCTTCTAAATTTTTAAAAAAAATTTCTATAGTCTCTCTACAAATTATAATATTTACTTCACTTCTTAATCATATTTTGAACCTAAATTTGCATTTTCTCCTATCAAATTGTGTATATCAGATGAGTCTTAAATGATTAAACTGATTGAATATTAGTAGTGAATATTGGTTATATATATATTTTTTCTTTTTATTACTTGAATTGGTTGTTTATATCAAATACACTATAAATTAACTTCTTTAAATGTAAATATGAATTTTTAATTTATGATGAGAAAAATATTAATAAAAGTAATGTTTGAAATATGAAAATAATGAACAAATTATTAATGAAGGAATGAGTTTTTAAATTTAATTCTACACTTTATCGAGTCAAGTATGAATTATTCAAAAATCAAGAACAAAGTCTTCAATCTATATGACATTTGATTGTGCTTTCTAATTCAAAGAGTCTGCATTCATCCTTGTATATGATAAAAAAATTATTTCCTTCTAATATTATACTATTCATCCTTCAAAGTACAGTAAAGGTTAGTAGCTTAGCATGCATAGAACTTAGATTAGAAGTTTATATAATGAATATAATTTTACTATTTTTTAATATTCAATATTATTCTATTAATAATTCAATGAAAGTGTAAGTTAGGTAAGTATAAAAATTTGATTCTACATTGAAAATGAATGAATATTTCGTCTCTACCATATAATTTGAACTTTTAAATATAGTGATTAACATTATACATGGCAAGGATCAACGGGATGCATTAATCAATCTCAATTGGTGTAGTTGAACTAGCAAACCGGAAATGGATTAGTTCTAAAAACTCAGTTGACCTAATTAATAACAGCAAGAACTTGTAAAATAAAAAATTTAATAATAATATTTATTAAAGTTCCTTAAGGTTGAGGTATCCGTCCGAGAGAAGATTTGGTCGTCGGCTCGTCGCTTTCTGGGATGAACTGTTTTGAATTGCCAGTGTGCGCAGAAAGAGACACCAAACAAAAGCTTTCTCCTGTTTGATAATTGCAGCACCCACGTGTAAGAACACGTGCCACCCACTAAGGACATGCATGGGACCTACACGTGGCATAGAGATCTTCTAGACTCTGCTTTACATTATTATTTCTATTGCTAAAGCTAGTTCAGTTTCGGGCTGTTTACCTACACTGTTCGACCAAGAGAAGGTTCTTACTTTTTTCTTTATGGTTTTCAAATACATGCTCCATATATAGTTTATTTAATGGAGAATTAGATTTCAGCTCCTCAAATATGGATTTATTTATTTTTTGAATTTCTGAATGTGAGGTTTTGGAATTTCAACTTATTTTAAATTTATGAAATTAGATCTTCATGTGACGAAAAGTGTAAAATTATTAATATGAACATTAAAATTGAACGCTTCTTTCATTTTAATTGGAGAGAAGAGAAAAACTAAGCGGTTTGATAGCTCTGCCTTCTAAATTGAAGTTATTTGAAAGTTGCATGCAATCTTGTCGTACATACAAATGATTTTGGTAATGTGAGAACCTAAAAGTTGGAAATTCAAATCCGCGTATTCAAAGGTTGAGCACCATAACCACATTCATAAAAGGCTGAGGGAAATAGTCATAGGGAGTGTTTGAGAGTCATTTTTATGTAAAAATGCATTTTAGAATAGTAACTTAATGAAAAGCGTGTGGTTGAAAAATAATGATTTTTTTAATTTACGTGTAATATTATTTTAATAAAGAATGTGTGATTGAAAAGAAGAGAGAAAAAAATACATTTTGAAAAAAATAGATACCAAACGGGGCCTAATTTCTCATAAAAAATTTGTCAAACAATAAAATTGGATTGAAACCTTTGACTTGGATTTACCTGAACTCGTCCATCAACGCTAAATTTCGAATGAATTGTATCCATCCATAAATTATATATAAATAATTATCCATCTTTACAATTCTCTTGCTTAGGAGGCTTCAATTTTGTATCAAACAAGGTAAGACTATTCTCCTTAAATATCGCACTTATTTGATACAATATTTTTGAGAAGCGATTCTTTGAAAAAGTGTTTTTAATGAATGTGCAATTAAAAAAATAAGAAAAAGTTACGAATAAACACAATAAGTAATTTTTTAAGGAAAATTCCATTTACACTATAGTATAAGCCTCCTTAATTACATGTTGAGGGGGTCCACATGAATAAAATAATTGTGGGTCCGCTCATTGTGAGGGGGTTGTAAGCAGTGACGGATCTAACTTTGAGTTTGAACACGAGTAACAATACAAATATATGTGGATTTATTTTAAAAAAAAAAAGTAGACATTTTTAGAGGCAGACACGGACTATAGGACGGTCGAGCCTGCGCCTGAATCCGCCAGTGGCTATAAGGGAGCTGTACACCAAGCAAGTTCCCTTTTTAAAAAAATATATAGTTAAAATTGAGTGTACAGAAAAGTTATTCTTAAAATATCAAATCAAACAAGCACCTCATGAAAACTATTGATCAACTTAAATTGGATACCAGTCTTTCAATTTCATAATAGCCACTTGTGTGCAAAGTGGAAAGCTTGTACCCTTTTTTTTTTAGTAAAATCCATACATACATGACGGGTTTGGCATTGATCCCTACCTCGTCTAATAATTAAAAAATTTAGACGATACAAATCAAACCTTATCTCGAAATATTAAAAAAAAAGAATATCAAGTAAAACTAAAGGTTCCTATCATACCTAATTATTAATTAATAAAGAAATATGTACTATATACGTACGACTGTGTGTGTGTGTAAACACAAACACGTAGACGTACCAAGCAATATTTAATTGTCATACACAAGTTTAATTACTGGCTGGCAGTGTCTAGAAATGGTTAAACATGTGATGAAGTTTGGCTATGGTTTGCTCGTTTTTCACTAGCTGACACTGAAAATTGCCTGAACCAATGAATTAAAGTTCACTGAATAATTGAATGTTTGGTTTCAGTCAATATAAACTTAAAATGACTTAAACCGAACAAAGATTTATTGTGTGATTGATCTTTTTGTCCTTTGTTCGGATAAAATAGTAAATGTTTAATGCCACGACACTGTGTTACTATCTTTAACCTAATTAATTATATTTGTTATTGAATCTATGCGAAAATTTTAATCTGGTCGACAATTGAAAATTTGATAAAAGCTTGATGATTTTAAGAGTTAGGACTCTTGAGTTCACTATTTTTATCATGTTTACTTCACCTATCGATAGGGGTGGCAGTGGGCCGAGCCGAGCCGGCTCAACTTGTTAACCCATGAGCTCGGCTCTGGCTCGTGGGCCGGGCCGAGCTCACGAGAGGCTCACGAGCTCGTGAATTTTTTATTTTTAGCAAATTTTTCAATTTTTATTAATAAAATTTCAATTTTTTTCCATTTTTTTGGGCTTGTGGACTCGTGGGCTCGGCCCACGAGCCGCTCGTCGAGCTCGACGAGCCGAACGGGCTCGGCTCGTTGGACTCGATCCCCCCTCGGCTCGAGCTGACGAGCCCGAACAATCCACGAGCCGAGCTTTGACGAGCCGAGCCGGCTCGGCCCATTTGACATCCCTACCTATCGAGTTATGGCAAATTATTTC